TATTATTTATTTATCGTGTCATCAGCAACCATACCATTGTGTTACAATTCTAACAGAACAAAACAAACACACAGATTAAAAAAAAAAGAAAAAAACACACAGATTTTGCAAACTTGGTAGTTGGTTAAATGTCCTTTGACCAGTATCTGGCCACTTGGAGTGCCTCTGGTGTTGCCGCAAGAAGGTCCTCCCTTGTGCATGTGGCAGGGCTCAGGGTGCATTGCAGCAGGTGGTCAGTGGTTTGTTCTTCTCCGCACTCGCATGCCGAGGATTCCACCCTGTAGCCCCATTTCTTAAGATTGGCTCTGCATCTCGTGGTGCCAGAAGCGCAGTCTGTTCAGCGCCTTCCAAGTCGCCCAGTCTTCTGAGTGCCCAGGGGGGAGTCTCTCATCTGGTATCACCCATGGATTGAGGTGCTGGGTTTGGGCCTGCCACTTTTGGACTCTCGCTTGCTGGGGTGTTCCAGCGAGTGTCTCTGTAGATCTTAGAAAACTATTTCTTGATTTAAGTCATTGACGTGCTGGCTGATACCCAAACAGGGGATGAGCTGGAGATGTCACTGCCTTGGTCCTTTCACTATTGGCTGCTACTTCCCGGCGGATGTCAGGTGGTGCAATACCGGCTAAGCAGTGTAATTTCTTCAGTGGTGTAGGGCGCAGACACCCCGTGATAATGTGGCATGTCTCATTAAGAGCCACATCCACTGTTTTAGCGTGGTGAGATGTGTTCCACACTGGGCATGCATACTCAGCAGCAGAGTAGCACAGCGCAAGGGCAGATGTCTTCACTGTGTCTGGTTGTGATCCCCAGGTTGTGCCAGTCAGCTTTCGTATGATGTTGTTTCTAGCACCCACTTTTTGCTTGATGTTCAGGCAGTGCTTCTTGTAGGTCAGAGCACGGTCCAAAGTGACTCCCAGGTATTTGCGTGTGCTGCAATTCTCCAGTGGGATTCCTTCCCAGGTAATCCTCAGAGCTCGGGATGCTTGTCTGTTCTTAAGGTGAAAAGCACATGTCTGTGTTTTAGATGGATTAGGGATCAGTTGGTTTTCCCTGTAATAGGCAGTAAGAGCACCTAGAGCTTCGGAGAAAAAATGTATAATATCACAAAGGACTACCACCTCACCCGCCTCATAGGAAACCTGCTACAAAACAGGAGCTTTTTTGTTGAGTTCCAGGGCCAGAGAAGCAGATGGCGGAAACAGAAGAACAGCCTGCCTCAGGGGAGCGTGCTTGCTCCATCCATGTTCAACATCTACACAAATGACCAGCCACTGCCAGAAGGGACAGAGAGTTTCATCTATGCTGATGATCGTGCCATCACGCTCAAGCAGGGAGCTTTGAGATGGTAGAACAGAAGCTCTCTGAAGCTCTAGGTGCTCTTACTGCCTATTACAGGGAGCTCCAAGAAAAGCTAGGAAAGATCAAGGTGGGCAAGGATTGGTGGTTGGAGGCCACATTCAGGTTGACGCTTGCCTCCAACGTAATGTAGTGGACTTGGTGGTGGGTTGGGCTATATTTTGAGCACCTTCTAGGCCATTATATGCCCAAGAAGCTCCATTTTTAATAGGAAGGGTCTGGGTTGTTGTGTGCTGTTTTCTGTGCTGTTTGGGTTGCTGTGAGTTTTCCATGGTCTGGCCATGTTCCAGAAGCATTCTCTCCTGAGGTTTCGCCCACATCTATGGCAGGCATCCTCAGAGCTTGTGAGGTCTGTTGGAAACTAGGCAAGTGGGGTTTATATATCTGTGGAATGATGTCCAGGGAGGGGGAAAGAAAGAGTTCCCCCAGGCAGGAAGCAGCCAGGCTTTGAAGCTGCAAGACCATTCAATGCTAATCAAGGTGAGCAACTGCAACATTCAAGCAGACATTGGAAATCTTTTGGGATTTGTTTTTGAAGGCTTTCATGGCCAGAATCACTGGGTTGCTGTGAGTTTTCCAGACTGTCTGCCTATGTTCCAGAAGCATTCTCTCCTGATGTTTTGCCCACATCTGTGGCAGGCATCCTCAGAGGTTGTGAGGGAACCCGGCGCTGCCCGGGTTATTTCAAAAAGGAATTGTCTATCTATTTATATGGCTTGCAGTGGTCTCAGGAAGTTAGTGAAGGTACTTGAAGTCCCATCATCTATGTCTGTCGTCCTCGAAAGTGCACCAGGATGTAGAGTGGGTCATGGGGGCTCTGTGTGCTAAGTTCGGTCTTGATCAGTCATTGGATGAGGGTCACAGCGGTCTCAGAAAGTGAGTGATGGTACTGCAAGTCCCATCATCCATGGTCTATCCTCCAAACTGCAGTAGGATGTAGAGTGTGTCTTCTTAGGGGTCACCTTACTTACTTACTTACATAGGTGATCTCTCGTAGTCCGAGGATGATGGTCCTCCAAGTTCGGTGTCCTGGGGGTGGGTTCGTAGGTGACTGTGGAGCCCAATTCTTGACCTGCATCTTCTCCCGCAGTGAGGGCATTGGTTTCCAGGTGGGAGGCGGTCTCGGTCGGGGTTGGCTTGACGCGCCTTCCTCCTCTTTCGCCCTCCATTCGTGCCTCTTCAAATTGTGCAGCACTGCTGGTCACAGCTGACCTCCAGCTGGAGTGCTCAAGGGCCAGGGCTTCCCAGTTCTCAGTGTCTATGCCAGAGTTTTAAAGGTTGGCTTTGAGCCCAACTTTAAATCTCTTTTCCTGCCCATCAACATTCCGTTTTCCATTCTTGAGTTCAGAGTAGAGCAACTGCTTTGGGAGACGGTGGTCGGGCATCCGGACAACGTGCCGGTCCAGAGGAGTTGATGGCGAGGACCATCGCTTCAATGCTGGTGGTCTTTGCTTCTTCCAGCATGCTGACATTTGTCTGTCTTCCCAAGAGATTTGCAGGATTTTCCGGAGGCAGCACTGATGGAATCGTTCCAGGAGTTGCATGTGACGCCTATAGACTGTCCACGTGTCGCAGGCATATAGCAGGGTTGGGAGGACAATAGCTTTATAAACAAGCACCTTGGTCTCCCTACTGATGTCCCGGTCCTCAAACACTCTCTGCTTCATTCGGAAGAATGCTGCACTCACAGAACTTAGGCGGTGTTGTATTTCGGTGTCAATGTTGACATCTGTAGACTGTCCACGTCTCGCAGGCATATAGTAGGGTTGGGAGGACAATAGTTTTATAAACAAGCACCTTGGTCTCCCTACGGATGTCCTGGTCCTCAAACACTCTCTGCTTCATTTGAAAAAAAGCTGCACTCGCAGAGCTCAGGCGGCGTTGTATTTCAGTGTCAATGTTGACGTCTGTAGACAGTCCACGTCTCGCAGGCGTATAGCAGGATTGGGAGGACAATAGCTTTATAAACAAGCACCTTGGTCTCCCTACGGATGTCCCGGTCCTCAAACACTCTCTGCTTCATTCAGAAAAATGCTGCACTCGCAGAGCTCAGGCAGTGTTGTATTTCAGTGTCAATGTTGACATCTGTAGACTGTCCACGTCTCGCAGGCGTATGGCAGGGTTGGGAGGGGAATAGCTTTATAAACAAGCACCTTGGTATCCCTATGGATGTCCTGGTCCTCAAACACTCTCTGCTTCATTTGGAAAAATGCTGCACTCGCAGAGCTCAGGCGGTGTTGTATTTCAGTGTCAATGTTGACATCTGTAGACAGTCCACGTTTAGCAGGCGTATAGCAGGGTTGGGAGGACAATAGCTTTATAAACAAGCATCTTGGTATCCCTACGGATGTCCTGGTCCTCAAACACTCTCTGCTTCATTCAGAAAAATGCTGCACTTGCAGAGCTCAGGCAGTGTTGTATTTCAGTGTCAATGTTGACGTCTGTAGACAGTCCACGTCTCACAGGCATATGGCAGGGTTGGGAGGACAATAGCTGTATAAGCAAGCCCCTTGGTATACCTACGGATGTCCTGGTCCTCAAACACTCTCTGCTTCATTTGGGGTTGGGAGGACAATAGCTTTATAGACAAGCCCCTTGGTATCCCTACTGATGTCCCGGTCCTCAAAACACTCTCTGCTTCATTCGGAAAAATGCTACACTCGCAGAGCTCAGGCGGTGTTGTATTTCGGTGTCAATGTTGATGTCTGTAGACAGTCCACGTCTCGCAGGTGTATAGCAGGGTTGGGAGGACAATAGCTTTATAGACAAGCCCCTTGGTCTCCCTGTGGGTGTCGTGGTCCTCAAACACTCTCTGCTTCATTCGGAAAAATGCTGAACTTGCAGTGTTGTATTTTGGTTATGATTGGGGGTCACCATAACATGAGGAACTGTATTTAGGGGTCATGACTTTAGAAAGGTTGAGAACCCCTGCTGTACAGGATATGGCATGGCATAGAAAAATGCACTTCTTTGGATGTTGGTTGGTTTGGTGGGAAGGGTGGAAAATGCCTTCAGTCCCATTGCCAGCTGGGCTCTTTGAAGGGTCCTGGCTGTCTCCCTCCCCTGCCTACTCCATTGACACCTCCCCTCAAAAAAAAAAAAAGAGTATTCCACCAGGAGAGTCCTGCAAACCACGTTTTCGCACCACTAACAATCTTCCTTCCTGGAGCTGGAGTCTTGCCGGCTGCAAACACCACCCTCTCCCCTCAAGGCTGCTTGGTTTGTGTAGTTCTCTCCCACTCCCACCCATTTTTTGTTGTTTTCCTCCCGGAAAAAAAAGCATTTTCTCCCACTGGGCAATGTGTCCTTTTGCCCAAAATGCTTTTTTTTTAAAACTCGTAAAAGAAACCAAACTTTTCATTTGATTTGATTTTGCGTTCTAGTCTGTCCCGCTCTTGTTCTGGTTTTGGTTCTGTCTGGCTCTGTCCGGGATTTTGAGTTTCTTCTCCTCTCCTTTCTGTTTGTTTCGGCATCCGACCCTCAACCCCCTTCCCCTCTCTCTCTGCTGGGGGACCCGGATGTCTGTCACAAGTTAAAAACAGCTTTTAAATTGTGGCATAGAGGGGAAAACCCTCCTTTTTTCCGTGCGTTTATATGACTCGTCTTTTTTCTTTCTTTCTTTTTTTCCTTCCTTCCCCTTCAAGGTCCGGCTCACCTGACGCTAAACAGCCAAGGTATGGTTTTATGTTTCTTTCCGCCAATGAGTTTTGGATTTCTTCTCTTCTTCTGAACCTAATACCATCCCTTTCTCTCTCTCTTTCTCTATCTCTCTCTCGTTCTCTCCTTTCGTCACCACGCTCAGTCTCTTCTTTTCTCTCCTGCCATCCGCCTCGAAGCATCGCATCTCATGTTGGTTTCTGACATTGCTGAATTATATATATATATATTTCTCTTTGGGTTGTTTTGTATGTCAACACGGGTTCGAAAGGAAACGCATGTTACAGAGAGAACTCGAGAGCAGCGGAGAAATATGGTTTTATCTCGTGTCGCTTCAGAGCTTTGATGAACTGTGTGACTTACGCTTATGATCTGATTATGAACAGCCTCGTGCGCTTGGCTCATTGATTGCTTTGGATGCGGTTCTGGGGGATTCACCTACTAGCTGTGTCTACACAAGATACAATGGAGTTCTAGGACCAATGTATACCGAGCCAGGACGCAAACCTAACCCCTGTTTGTGGGCAGAGGGGTTTGCTGCAAGTGTTGCCCCCATTTTGATCAAGACAGAAGAGTGATGCCACTTTCCCATAGTGGATACTACTACTACTAATAATAATAATAATCTATATAAATAAAAATGTAATGTTTAATGTATTGTCGAAGGCTTTCATGGCCGGAATCACTGGGTCGTTGTAGGTTTTTTTGGGCTATAAGGCCATGTTCTAAAGGCATTTTTCTCCTGATGTTTCACCTGCATCTATGGCAAGCATCCTCAGAGGTAGAAAAAAATCTCTAAAATTATTTTAAAACTCTAATACTTTTTAAAAATATTCTAAAATTACTCTAAAAGTATTAAAAATACTCTAAAAGTATTAAAAACTCTAAAATTAGAACAGCACAACAACAGAGAGGAAACAAACAAGGACATCTAATCACCTCTCAACAAAAGATTGCTCCAGGCACTGCCAGGCCATCAAATGCTAATCAAGGTGGTCAGTTGAAACATTCACACCTAGCTCCAGCAGACAAGAGTCCTTTGTCCCACCCTGGTCCATTCCACAGATATATAAACCCTTTTTCCTAGTTCCAACAGACCTCACTATTATTTATTTATTTATTTAGGTCATTTATACCCCGCCTTTCTCACCCCCTAAGGGGGACTCAAGGCGGCTTACATCCGGCACAATTCGATGCCCACAATTACAATAAAATGCAATAGCAAAACACAATAGATTAAAAACAGACAATTAATACAATACAATATAACACTACCTCTGAGGATGCTTGCCACAGATGCAGGCGAAACGTCAGGAGAAAATGCCTCCAGAACATGGCCATATAGCCCAAAAAAACCTACAACAACCCAATGTAATGTTCGTTTGTGAGATTAACATAACTCAAAAACGGCTGGACGAATTGACAACAAATTTGGACACAATACACTTTTTAGGCCAACAAGTGACCATCACTCATCCCCCCCCCAAAAAAAAGAACAGGGGAAAGAAGTTAAAAACCCAAAAACGTTAAACAACAATACTGAAAAAAAAAGCAAGAGGGAGGGATGGAAGGAAGGAAGGAAGAGAGGGGAGAAGGAAGGAAAGGGAGAAGGAAGCACGGAAGCAAAGAGTGAAGGAAGGAAGGAAGGAAGGAAGGAAGGAAGGAAGGAAGGAAGGAAGGAAAGAAGTAGAGAAGGAAGAAAGGAGAAAAAGTGGGAGGGAAGGAAAAAAGGAAAGACAGAAGGAAGGATGGAAGCAAAAAGCGAAGGGAGGAAGGAAGAAAAAGGAAGGAGGAAGGAAAGAGAAGAGAAAGAAGAGAGGAGAGAGGAATGAAAGAAGGAAAGACAGAAAGGAAGGATGGAAACAAAGAGCGAAGGAAGGAAGAAGGAAGGAAGGAAGGAAGGAAGGAAGGAAGGAAGGAAGGAAGGAAGGAAAGAGTAGAGAAGGAAGAAAGGAGAGAAAGAGGGAGGGAAGGAAAGAGAGAAGGAAGGATGGAAACAAAAAGCGAAGGAAGGAAGGAAAGAGTAGAGAAGGAAGAAAGAGAAAGGGAGAGGAAAAAAGGAAAGAGAAGGAAGGATGGAAGCAAAGAAAGGAAGGAAGGAAAGGAGAGAAAGAAGAAAGGAGAGAAAGAGAGAGGGAAGGAAGGAAAGACAGAAGGAAGGAGAGAAAGAAGGAAGGACAGAAGGAAGGATGGAAGCAAAGAGCGAAGGAAGGAAGGAAAGGTGTAGAGAAAGAAGAAAGGAGAGAAGTGAGAGGGAAGGAAGGAAGGAAAGTAGAAGGAAGGATGGAAGCAAAGAACAAGGAAGGAAGGAAAGAGGTAGAGAAGGAAGAAAGGAGAGAAAGAGGGAGGGAAGGAAGGAAAGAAGGAAGGAGAGAAGCATGGAAGCAAAAAGCAAAGGAAGGAAGGAAAGAGGTAGAGAAAGGGAAGGAAGGAAAAGTAGAGAAGGAAGAAAGAGAAAGAAGGAAGGAAAATAAACGGGAAGGAAAGAAAGAGGTAGAGAAGGAAGGAAGGAGAAAAGGAAAGAAGGAAAGGAAGGAAAGAGGGAGCGAAGGAAGGAGGGAAAGAAGGAGAAAAAAAGGGAGGAAGGTTGGCCACAGCAACACATGGCAGGGAACAGCTAGTCTATATAAATAAAAATGTAATGTTTGTTTGTGGGATGAACATAACTCAAAAACCACTGGACGAATTGACACCAAATTTGGACACAAGACACGTATCAGGCCAATGGGTGACTATCACTCATGAAAATCTCCGAAAAACACAGCAGAAGGGACTTAAAAAGCCAAAAAATGAAAAATACATTATAATGCATGTGCAAAACCACATATATAAATGCAAACTCACATATATACACATATACACAAATATACACACATACAAAACACATATACACAGGCTGGACCACAGCAAGGCGTGGCAGGGGATGGCTAGTCATAATAATAATAATAATAATAATAATAATAATAATAATAATAATAATAGGCAGTGGGTTAAACCATCGAGCTGCTGAACTTGCTGACTGAAAGGTCGTTGGTTCAAATCTGGGCAGCAGGGTGAGCTCCCCCTGTTAGCTTCAGCTTCTGCCAACCTAACAGTTTGAAAACATACACATGTGAGTAGATCAATAGTACCGTTTCTACGGGACCTGTTGATAAGAACTGTGACAAAAGATTAAATGTTGATCTTTTCAGGGAAAACTACTTGTTTACATTAATTAAGGAAATGTTTACATCTTAAGAAGAAAGTCAGCACAGAACATTAATCAGAGACAATGGCTCTTTTAAGTTAAGGACATATTTACATGTCAAGAAGGAAGTCAGCACAGTCAGCACAGAGTTGCTTGCTTTACTAACGCCAATCAAGAAGAGTCAACATCTGCCAGGAAACTGAGGTGGAATCTGGAAAAACGTCTATCTATCAATTATTTAGTCCCCTCCTTCCCCATTGGTGGTGCAGTGGGTTAAACCGCTGAGCTGCTGAACTTGCTGACCGAAAGGATGGCAGTTCGAATCCACGGAGCGGGATGAGCTCCTGCTATTAGCCCCAGCTTCAACCAACCTAGCAGTTTGAAAATATGCAAGTGTGACGAGATCAATAGGTACCACTTCGGCGAGAAGATACCCATTGATAAGAACAGTGACAAATTATTAACTGTTGCACTTTTGGGGGGAAAACAACATTAATTAATCAGAGACAGTGTCAGAGACATTAAGGAAATGTTTATATGTTAAGAAGGAAGTCAGTACAGAGCGGCTTGTTTTATTAACGCCAATCAAGAAGAGTCAACATCTGCCCGGAAACTGAGATGGAATCTGGAAAAATATCTATCAATTAATTATTTAGGGTCCCCCTTGTGGTGCAGTGGGTTAAACCGCTGAGCTGCTGAACTTGATGACCGAAATCTCAGCAGTTCAAATCCCAGGGAGCGGGGTGAGCTCCCCCTGTTAGCCCCAGCTTCTGCCAACCTAGCAGCTCGCAAACATGCAAATGTGAGTAGATCAATAGGTACAACTTCTACAGGAAGATACCTATTGATAAGAACCGTGACAAATGATTAAATGTGACTCTTTTAAGTTAAGGAAGTGTTTACATGTTAAGAAGGAAGTCAGCACAGAGCGGCTTGCTTTAGTAACACCAATCAAGAAGATTCAACATCTGTCGGGAAACTGAGTGGAAAAATATCTATCTATCAATTCTTTAGCCCCCCCGCCCCCCGCCCCGTGGTGCAGTGGGTTAAACCAGGTTCAAATCCAGGGAGTGGGGTGAGCTCCCCCTGTTAGCCCCAGCTTCTGCCAACCTAGCGTCTCAAAACCATGCAAATGTGAGTAGATCAATAGGTACTGCTTTGGCGAGAAGATTATTGATAAGAACAGTGACAAATGATCCTGGAAAAATATCTATCAATCAATTATTTAGGGTCCCCCTTGTGGTGCAGTGGGTTAATCCGCCGAGCTGCTGAACCTGATGACCGAAATCTCAGCAGTTCAAATCCAGGGAGTGGGGTGAGCTCCCCCTGTTAGCCCCAGCTTCTGCTAACCTAGCAGCTCGAAAACATGCAAATGTGAGTAGATCAATAGATACTGCTTCGGCAGGATGGTAATGGCACTCCGTGCAGTCATGCCAGCCATGTGGCCTTGGAGGTGTCTATGGACAACACCGGCTCTTTGGCTAGAAATGGAGATGAGCACCCACCACCAGAATTGGACACAACTAGACTTAATGTCAGAGAGGACGAGAAGGAGGAGGAGGTTGCTGTGATTTTTCCAAGCTGTCTGGCCATGTTCAAGAAACTGTTTGGCCATATTCCTGATCTTTCACCCACATCTATGTCAGGAGAGAATGGAACATGGCCATACAGCCTGGAAACTCACAGAAACCCAGTGATTCCGACCACGAAAGCCTTCGACAACACAATAACAACAACAACAACAATAACAACACTTTATTTATAATCTGTTCTATCACTCTTACAGTGTACACAGATAAGCAAAAATACACAGATCAAAGGTAAAGGCTT